CCCCTTGGGGGGCCCCCCCCAACCATTTCTAGTCTGGACCAATCATAAGAACTTGGCCTACCTCCAGTCTGCCAAAAGACTAAACCCCCGACAAGCAAGGTGGTCCTTGTTCATTGATCGGTTCCGGTTCACCCTGTCTTATCAGCCGGGGTCACGCAACCAAAAACCAGATGCTCTGTCCCGACAGTACAGTCCCCCAGCCAAACCCAAAACACCAGAAACCATTCTGCCCGCCTCCAAATCGAAGACACCATACGGGAGGCCCAACAACAAGAACCCGATCCTGGGGGTGGACCACCAGATAGATTATACGTCCCCCAGGCTGCTAGGGCCCAGACCTCGTTCTCGTTTGCTCACTGACAGGTGCGAACGGTACCTAACAGTTCCACCTTATATTTTACTCTAAAATAAATCCAGTTTTGTTTGAAATTCTTTACCCAGTGTTTCTTTTTGTTGTTTGTTTTTTTGTCTCTGTTTCATAAGAAAATGTGAGGAAAAACTTGCCAACATAAAATAACATGTAATACAATCCACATTGGGATGCAGTCGGTGCAACAGATGGCTGCAATGTGTGATTCTGACAGATAGCTTGTTATGTTAAGGATACCATTATACTCAAGTCTGATAGTAAGATGCACGAAAGGTTAGCTACATTAATAAAATTTGTTGTATCAGAGCTCCTTGCCAGATTTTTTAGTTGTATTTTCAGAGAACATTTGAATATGTTTTCACCACTTGCATCAAATTCATGAAAAAATGTGTGATTGCTATTTAGCAGTAGGTTTTAAACTTTTTTTTTCTTCAGTTTATTTTCAAGGTAAATTAAATACATCTGCAGATGGCTTGGTGTAATCACTAATTACAATGCAATTTACGAAGTTTCAAAATAATGTAAAAGTACAATTGATTACGTTGAACATACGTTTCAACTACGATTCCCAGTGAGCACTGCGGTAAAAAAAATCACGTACTTACTCCAAAATTAAAGTTTAGTAGTAGGCTATTTACCTTAGATTAACCTTTTATTTTGAAATTAAGTTTGCTACGTCGGAGCCGCTTCCTGTTCAACATTTGCAGTGTTCCTATTTCTCGACAGCGCTGGAACTGAAAGTCGAAGCTGTATATTTTTTCTGCTCTAACAATGAATTACAAAATACGTGCTGCAACAAAAGAAGACTGCAAAGATATATCTAGGATGATAACGGTGAGTTAGTGTCGACGGTACTAAAGCTAGTTCAGTTTTCACTTCAAAATGCAAAATGTAACGTCCTCAGCGTTACAACTATTATTAATTGTCTGTGGTATTATATGCTCAATCCCCCTTTTCAGGAGTTGGCGGTTCATGATAAAATGTCGGACCAAGTGAAGCTATCATACGAAGGTAATATTGAACTTTACACTATAGAAAAAAGTCACGTGACTTTGGAATACACAAGGAAGTCTTGCCATTATCCAATATAGACCTTTTTCTCCGCAGACACTTGTAGCCGGTAAGGCAGGTGTAATAATAGGCCTAGCAATAACAATGGCTCAGATTCTTTGTGTTACAGTGAGCCAATCCACACACATTTAACCATCATTTTTTATGCACCTGTGTTCGCTGTCACAACATGATAAAATATTAAATCAATGTTTCTGTCACGTTTGGCGTGTACAGATGCCAAACAGAGGTTGTGGTGAACTCAATTAAATAACCAGACGAACTGAGGTAACGAAAAGTTCTTTACTAGTAAACAAAATTAACAAAAAGTCCAGGATATCACTTAGGTCTACAAGACAGTCCAGGGGTCGGCGCCGGTTAACAGGTATAGCCAGGGGATCCAAACTCGAGGTCAAGGGGGACAAAAGCAGAAGGCCTTTTCAGGAGTTGGCGGTTCATGATAAAATGTCGGACCAAGTGAAGCTATCATACGAAGGTAATATTGAACTTTACACTATAGAAAAAAGTCACGTGACTTTGGAATACACATGGAAGTCTTGCCATTATCCAATATAGACCTTTTTCTCCGCAGACACTTGTAGCCGGTAAGGCAGGGGTAATAATAGGACTAGCA